AAAGCGGGAAGGGTATCCTGTGGGGGCCACGTGCAGTATAGGACGTTGTAGCCACATGTTGCATGGGATCACTTTTTATGGCATCAACCATCCATCGTTGGTCATTTTTTGAAATTTATAAGGCATAAACCATTCAAAATTTCATGGCATAAAATAATTAATTTCAATATTTATTTATTTATTTATTATTGGATTAATAATCTACTAATAAAGTGTTTTTAGTTCTATCATTCCACAAGAGTCATAAGACTCTATTTTATATATTAAAGTATTTATTAATTTAATTATTACAAATTTTGAGTTTAAAATTTTAAATTTTAACAATTAAATTATAAATACGCACTAAATAAAATACAAGTAATAATACTATAATAAGAATACACACATAACGAATAAATTATTTATGAGTGTGGATACATGAGTTGCTATAGTTGACAATAATGATAATATTTGTATTATTGTTTTATGTTATCGGTTCTGATAAATCAGTTATAGGATAAGTATCTACTTAACTTATGTTAGCACTTATTCCATCACCTGCAATGATAATGGAAATGGGGATGGATCACCGGGGTAGAGAACGAAGAATAAGAGAAAGGCCTGATAATTTTTTTTGTAATTGCATATAAAACAATTATTTTTAATATTTTTAAAAAATTATTTTATTTATTTTTATAAATTATACAACAATTATATACTTTGTTTATGAATAAAAATTGTATATATAAATGCATATAATTTCAGAATTTATAAATTTATTAATATATTATGAAAACGTTTTAAAAACTTCTGTAACTGGCTATGATAAATGTTTTTTCAAATTATTTATTTAATTTTTAAATAACAATTTTAATGATTATTTCTAAAAATTCAGATGGGAATAAAAATATGTATCATTTGTATATCTCGTCATTATTATAAACCAATACTTGGGACATAATCTTTACCTAACTTGACTGAAATTCTAGTCACCAATCATAACTTGCTTCTAAACAAACATACATACATATTATATATATATATATATATGTAAGATTACGTATCATTGAGACATGCAGTAATGATTATCCGTGAACTTGAAAGGAAGTAAATTTTAAATTAAGTGCGGAAGTAAAATAATAGCGTTAGAATTTATATTCCTTACATAATTATTCGGGATACCCAATAGGGTTACGAGAATGATCATTCTAAAAGAACAACTAATAATCAAATAAATAAATGAAAAGTAAACAAACTGAACGTCATACTCGCAACCCTCTTGTGGATTGAGCTCTGGATTTTGATTCTCTTGATCTTAAATGGTTAATGAAAGAGTGCGCTATACTAACCCAGTAAGAATATCACGCTATTCACCGACATAGAAATGAAGGTTGATAAAAATCATAAAAACAATTAATAGAGCTCTTAATTTAATTAAAATTCATTTACCATAAATTAAATCATTTACCGCATGTTTACTGTAGTGAGATTTTCAAAACAAACCTATACAGTCAATAACATAAATAATATCATAATTTCATATTCAATCAGTCGGAATAACAACTTTCTCATTTATCAGCCAACTGGTATCCATGGGGGTTCAGAGGGGTGTTCCCACTATGCGTGAAACTTTTTTTAACATTTTCAACTAACGGATCGTCCCCATACCCTGTCCAGTATGAGCGTAAAAAAATGTCATCTTTTAATACCCCATACGGTATGAGAGTGAAACGAGCCGTCCCCATACCCCCTCGTCCGGTATTAGCGTTAAATTACCAATCCACGATACTCCGTCCGATATGAGGGTTCACAGTAGGATTCCCTATGTACTCCGTCCATCCACCATCTCTTAAGATATCCAGGAAGGCTATCATTCATTCATTCACTTAATCAAATAATTTTCTATTTGCCTTTAATTTTCAGTTTTTCAATTAACTATAAATCACGTAAAACAAGCAATACATGCATCAAGAAAACACAATCGAATTATCATACTAATTTCAGTGTATTATCATGCATTCGAAACTGTAAAATCAATCAATCAGTTAAACATGGCAAACAGTAATAAATAACTGGTTCCGCCCCCATTAGTAACATTTAATTATTGATATTTCTAAATTACGCAAAATACCATATTATTTATAATTAAACTTCAATTCTATAACCGAGAATAAGATGAGAGATTCTTACTCAAATTGATGTCCGAATGCTGCCAAATTGTAATGAAGTGATACCCTTATTGCTAAATGACAAATTATCTAATCATTGCAAAGATGATTTGAGTAAAGAGATGTAAAAGATTTCCTACACATCAAGAATTGGGAAAATAATGTACATGCAAGTTTATCCACGTCCAAATATCACATATATTATAGGGATGTTCAGAAGATATTTGAGTAATTTATAAATGAATCATTAAAAACTAGCCAAATAAGTCATCTATACTCACAGAGAACAAAAGACTACAAACTCATATCGAAGATTAAATTAGTTAGAGATAATTGGGATTTTGAATTCAATTTTGCTAGATGCCAAGATAGTCGGAGATCTACATTAAGCTGTATCTACATATTAGTTGAAGGAGTTGTTTCATGGAAGAGTGCCAAGTAAACTCTCTTAGCTTCTTCCACAATGGCAGCAGAGTTTATAATATGTTATGAGGAATCTAATAATGGAATATGGTTGTAGAATTTTGTCAGTGAGTTGCATATTTTGTACAGAATTAAAATAATAATAAAGCTGTTTCATGATAATAAATCGATACTACTATATTCTAATAATAGTAAATGCTCAATATGGTCAAGATACATAGATATCAAATTCTTTATTGTTAGAGAAAATGTTCAAAATGGTCAGGTATCTATAAAATATTGGCACCAACTTCATGGTTGTGGATCCACTCACAAAAGGTTTATCACTTAAGGTTTCTCATAAGTATATTGCTTGCATAAGTGTTATACCTCTTGGAGATATGTTTTCTACTAAGAGTTTGTTTTTTGGATAACTATCAGTTATAAACATACTTTATCAATATCATATGCATAGTTCATTATTTTTCACTGCAATATCAAAGTTTGTGGTTTACTTTTACTCTCAATGGATTGGGATTGATCTCACTAAAAAATAATGTTAGACCAATTAGAAAGAAACATGGTAAGATCACATTACATATAATTTTTATGTAGACATCAATGTTTGATACATACATGTCTTTTATTATATTATTAAATGTGATTACTTATGAGTTTAGTTACAATACATGTAATAAAAACTACTTTGATCATATGATAATATAATTTAGAGTATAATTATAAAGTGGAATATGTGGTTAAAGTAGGAGATTGTTGGAAATATCTATGATAATATTAGTTGGCCAGCATATATTTAATAATAATTGAATATTATATGCTATCATAAAAATTAACCTTGATTAAAGTGATCAAATAAAATTTAAAGCATGTACTTGATGACGTCTCCTAAAATATAGAATTTAAATATGTGTAAATACCAAAAGTATAATTTTTAACTTTATGATGTAGCCAAATTAGAAATTAGAAACTTAAAAAGTTAGAGGTAGTTGTGATTCTTAAGTTATGAATAAAGGTACTCTTGTTTAAGATTTCATCATTAAGAAGAGTAGTTTTTAGGGAAAAGTTGGAAAAAAGTTTCAACATTGAAGTTTTTTTATTTAGTAACTTGGAAACCAAAAGTCCAAAATTCAAGTTAGAGTATTGTCTGCCGACTCATGTATGATTTAACCCAAAAAAAAAAAAAAAAAAAAAAAAAAAATTTCCTTTGATGATGGTTTTCATCCATAAAATTCAATGTTCAAAAAGTATTCTTAAAATAAAAATATAAAAAGATAATATGAAATTCCAACTCGATCACTTGGTATTCTTGATGTACTTTTTGTGTTCAACCATAATAACTTTAGAACTTTTTTTATAATTTCTTTAAAAGTTTATTTACAATCATACAAATAAGAGACTAAGAATAATTGATATAGAAAAGAAGTAATACTCAATGGAATTGTCGAAACACCAGTACAATATTAATATGGAAATTTTCAACCTTGGTGATTATGGGAGTGACAATTACAAACAAATGAAGGAATAGATAATATTCTGCAAACCTTATAAGGTGGTCAGCATGAGCATATAAGCTCTTCAATAGTTTATTTGAAACTTTTTTTTTTTTTTTTTATGCTCTCTAGCAATTATTTGTTGGGTATTTCTTAGAAGTTTTAAAAATTCAAACCAATATGGGTAATACGTACATGTTTTTTGGAGTGTAATAAGAAAGTTTAATTAATATCTGAGTATTAGCTTAAAAGATTAGTTGAATATTAACAATTAGAATTAGGGTTTAATTAGATGGTCTTGTACTTGAAAATAATCTCGAATGTTCATTAGAAAGAAATTTCCTATTTAGAATGGTTTACTTACAAGATCATTAATGGATTCATTTTAGTGTATAATTTCTGAATTATTCATTTCCTATTAGAATTATTTCTTAATTGATTAATTAAGTTGACCACCTGGAACTTCATACTAACAATTTCTCCCAAATCTGAACACGTGGAGGATGGCACACGTGTGGGCATGTGCAGTCAACAGTCAAACCATCTGCTCATCCCTGATGATTGATGATGATACGGGGGGGTGGATGATTGCACGTGCGACCCACGACTACAACAAACATTCGGACCCACGTGCTCCAGCCATGTCGAGATTCTTGCCTTTATTATAAAAAGAATTTTAATATTTTATTACTAAAAAATTATATAATACGACACACACACTAACACATGGTAGTCCTTAAATTGCAAACCTTTTTGAAGTCCAAAAGAAACTTAATTTTATAGTGAAAGTAATTTTTAAATCTCTGGCGAAATAATTACGTATTTTCGTTTATAGAAGATATATAAAAATTAATAAAGAATCTCCCTATATTATTAGATTGCTGAGGGGCACCCAATTGGATGGTAAGAAGATTAGATTTTGAGCTATAACTAACCCATAGGAGATCAAATTGTACACATTGTATATATTCAAGCAACTTACACCCATGTTCGTACTAGAGTATTTAATGTCTTAATTTCCAGGATGAAACAAGCACAATCTGAAATCTCATCAACACAAACTTCTCTTCACCACTGCCTAATTACAACTACTCCCACACCTCCAATAATCATGCAAACAAGTTCCATCAACCATGTCTACATTTACATAATTAATCATTTAATTATTTCTCTTTCTAGAAAAAAAAAAAAAAAATCAATCAACTACCGATCGTAAATTACAACAGTAACTGTAAGCTTTGAACCATCAAAGTTACAAAATCAGATACATCGGTGTCGGAACAAGCAGCAGAGAGAATAGGAGACTAACCAAACAAATATGGCTCCTACTCAGTGCCAACATCTACGGACAAGTGTCTTGCTATTGTTCTTTCCTTTCTGCATTTTAGGGCATTGTATCCAAATTTATTATCTCTGCAAACTGAAAAAATGCACCTCCATTAACTTTGCAATTCATCATAAGAATAGCACGTGAATTAAGCAGTTACTGATGGCTGATATGGAGACGAAAGGAACAACTCATTGCAAGTTTTGAACTCTACTACATGTCATGATGTCTCATACCATCTCTATTCCTACCGTGCAAAAGGATTAGATTGGCAGCGTACCACATCCCACTTTCCTTTTTCTTTTTCTAATATGGGCCTTCAGTTCCTTGAGGATTTACTTCTACTATTATAAAATAGAATTTATTAACCAAAACCAAGACCATCCACCCACAACTTTATCACTAAGCAGCAATTTAGATCCTTGTTGCATTTATACCCATGCCTGATATTAAGAAAACAAACCCTAGGTTCGGATGTCAACAAGTTTGCCATGCTAAACACCATTACCTCGTTCTTCTTTCAAGCTGAGAACAAAGAAATAAAAAAATAACCATCCCTAGCAGATTTCATAATCCACATAGAAGTACAAATCCTTGCCATTGATGTAAACTAGCAAACCCAACAATTAGAAATCGAGGCAATAAGTGTAGGAAATCTTACGCTGGCTGTTGAGCACCCGCTTGTATCAGTTGAGAGTATATGTATTCATCAACCCTCTGCTTGGCCAATGCTACCTAGAAAGCATCCAAAATCGTAAACTATCAGATAATAGCAGAGCAATCTCAAGAACTCAGACTTGATTAACCAGGAAAAAAAATTTATAAATATTTAGAAGACTAAAGTTGAAAATAAAGACAATGAAATTCATTTAATTTCCAAATGAAGTTTGGCAAATATAATGAATGTTCTAATATCTTAAGAAATTTGTGCATTTTTTATTTGAGTGGAATAAGCAGCTGTGAGTTAGCATAATGACATTTTGATAATTATGTTTGCACATTCTTTTGTTTTCCCAGCAGGAGTTTTTTTTTAAAAATAAAAAGTGGAATTCTATTAACATGATACCAAACAAACGGGAGTAACGCCCCTACACAAAAGCTTTACAATGTTGTTAGCGAATCAATGACATGTTTAAAATTCACATCACTAATTATGTCATACCCTAACAATAAGAATCCAAAATAATGCAACCACCTATCTCTCAAACTATACAAATCATTAGTTTTACCCTCAAAAGCTTTAGAATTTCTCTCCTTCCATAGAATCCAAAACAAAGATAAAGGAATTAGATTTTTCAACTTCCTCTCTATATGCATCCATTCCCAAGCCCATAATTCCTCTCTAATAGATCCAGCCATCACCCAGTTAACACCAATCATACTAAAAATAGCATTCCACAACCCAGAAGCCACAGAACACCACAGCAGAACATGCACACAGCTTTTCTCATTAGCCATACACAAATAGCACCAGTTTGGAATGGCCAAACCCCTAGTTTTAAGTTTATCAATTGTCAAGATACATTCTCTACTTGCTTCCCATGCAAAAAAAGCGACTCTAGGGGAAACTTTCGTCTTCCAGATCTGGCTAGAGGGAAAATCAAAACTTATCACATTGTTTTTGTTTGTCAAGTGCTTATAATAAGATATGATTGAAAAAACACCCCTTTTATCCAACTTTCATAACACCTTGTCCTCCCCAGTAGATATCTGTTGAGCAGCCAATAAAAGTAGTAAATTTTCAAACTCGCCGAGTTCCCAGTCCTGCAAATTTCTCGAGATATTGATCAGCCATACAACACAACCATTATTAATCTTGTAAGCATCCTGAATCAGCATATTTTTTGTCTGAGAAATGGAAAAAAATTCTGGGAAACCTCCTCATTAAACACATATTACCTATCCAAATATCCTTCCAAAATCTGATTTTATTGCCCCTGCCAGCCTTCCACATCAGATTTTCCAAAAAAATAGGCCACTGCATCAAGATTTTCCTCCGTAAACTCGTTCCATGGGCTCTTCTAAGCCTTGTGACCCCACTGTTGTCCGACACAAGGTCACTCCAACGGATCCAAACAATCTGTCTCCACAATCTGTCTTCCTCGAGTAAATAACGCCACAACCATTTCCCTTGCAAAGCCACGTTTAAATCAACAATGGACCTGATTCCCAAACCTCCACACTTAATCGGTTTTTTGATTTTCTCCATTTAACCAGATGAAATTTATGATTCTCATTGTCATCGCCTCAAAGAAATCTGCATTGTATATTTTCCAGCTTTTTAGCAATATGTACCGGGATCGAGATTGTAGACAAATAATAGATTGGTAGGTTAGCCATGGTGCTTTTTATTAACGCAAGTCTCCCCCCTTTTGGAAAGGAATTTCCTCTTCCAACCAGCCAACCTATTCTCACACAATTCCAAAACAAGGTCTCATGCAGCACTGTTTTTATACTTAGCTCCCACAGCAATCCAAGATATTTAATAGGTCACGTGACTTCTCCACACTCTAGAACAGCCGCAAATACTCTCTCATCCCCTTCATTACCCAGTTTAATCAATTCG